GTGTGTGTGTGTGTGTGTGTGTGTGTGTGTGTGTTGATTGTTGGATGTTCCATCTTTCACCCATTCTTCTGGTATTGAACGGTTTGCTTAGTCATTTTTTACAATGTTTGAACGAAATGTGTCAACTCACATTTGCATTTTTTGTCATTGATTTGTTTTATTAACTTCAAATGGACAGAGCTTATGATAAGGTTTGTTTATTTTTGCTTGTTAAATTATTTTTAATGAGTAAATCTCTTGTATAATGCCTAAGAAGTAGATAACGCATTTATTCATCTTTGATCTCTTTGATTCCAATGATATGCATTGATAGTGAACTTGTAAAAATTTGTTCAACTAAATAAATTAACAAAATTATTAAGCATTGAAAAATGTGCTATGTGATGCATTTTGAGAAAATTTTTTGATAAAACGAAGAAAATTAAAACATGAAATAATTAAAAGAAGTGAGAAGAAAAGGAGTAAAAGCTGATTTGTCAAGGAAGTGAGATGCAATCTACTCATTGAAGATCCCACAAAAAAAAGACTGATTCGAAAAAAATTCAGTTGAATTCGTTGTAGAAGGCATGGATATGAATGAAGTTGAATGACCAGTCAATATTGTCCTTTCCTATCTTCAGACTCAATTGCATAAGGCTCATACAAGATTCTTTTTTTTTTATAATAAATTCCATCAAGACATTAACGAACTTGTAGAATAAGCAATCTTCATAGCAGAATGTTTTTTTAAGAGAGGTAATTTTTCAATGTCGGAACTTTGAACTCTAAAGTTTTAAATTAATATTATCAACACAGTGAAGAACATTGAAATGAAACATCTCTTGTATAGCTTCCGATAATAATTTATCGGAAATTTTTAGGTTTTCTTTTTTCGTTTTTTAGGCTAATTAGGAATGCTAACACATTTTTGTTGTCTGTTTGGAAATTTGGGAAATAGTCATAATGTTGCTGTCAAATCGAAGAATATGAAGAGTACTAGAAGTTAGCAATTTGTTTTCAAAATTAAGTGGAAATTATACTATCCAGATATTTTCAGATTTCCTAAAATTTTATGCAAACTTTGAATAAATATGTATGTGCTTCAAACTAATTTCTAGTATCCCATTTCAATTTTTTTTTTAAAGCTTAAACAAATCTAGCACCGGAATGAGCTTCTCTTTAAATTCACATATCCACAAGTATATCTCAACGAATTGGAGAAGTGTCAAGGGAGAAACAGATGAAAGTTAATAACCTGTACAGATCTGTTACCTTACCTTACCCTTACATATTTAAACTACCACTTCTTAACTTATTTTCTCTATAGCTACTTTAATTGGAAAGCAATTTAAGTGATTAGCTTCTTCGGAAATCTTCAGTTTTAATACAATTTTATCCTCCTGAATACTAATTTTTTCATTCGTTTACTTATGAATTTTCCGAGAAATTTTGTCAGAATTCGATCTTATCAAACAGGAGTACTAATAGTGTTAAAGCGTGTGGCCGAAAAATTTTTGAATTTTAATTTTTGAAACATTTTTAAAATTCACCGCAAAAAAAATTTTCGATTCATGCGCCTCTTATTATTAAACAAGATTTTAAGCAAATTTCTAATATAGTTCGAAAATTTTTACATTAGAGGGACAAGTAAGATATAATAAAGGTTATTTATTTCATACTTAATAATAACTCAGTATCGTACTGCACTATGTTGACAGCTGTATTGCATTTATTTGTTTTTTTTTTTTTATCTGCATTATAACTGCATGCTTCATATGTAAATAGTGCATTACACTAATACCATATTTGAATTTTTTCTTCATATTCTACAATTCTATCCTACTATTTCAGTATTTTTTCTTTTTTTTTTATTTTCTACAAAAAAATGTTCAGACGATATTTGTTCAATGAAAAATATGAGAATAATTTCGTGCAATCATCAAAGTAGATATTCACTTAGTAGACATCCATGTTAGTGAACTTTTGAAATAAAATTATTTAAAAAAGAAGTAAGCTTCTAGAGGAAAGAAAAAAAAATGTTCCTCACTTATTCATCCATTTCTTTTGATGGTTGAATTCTCAATGCATCTAATATTTTTTTATTCGTGCTTTAAAAAGATAAAGAAATTGTTTTTTTTTTTTGGAATTTCAGTCATATTGTTTGTCTATTAAAATTAGCATTGGTACAAACTCTCGAACAAATCAAAATAAAGACGAACAGCTGGATAAAATTTCATATGAGCATTAGAAAGAAATGTCACCGATTTGAAAAGCTTGAAATCAATTGATCAGATCTAGTTATGACAAAATATTTAAAAAAAATAGTGAGCAGCCCTTAAGAGGCCGTATTGAATTTGGGGAGAAAGCGATATTTTTTTGTTTTTAGCAAAGACAGTTTCGTGTTTCTTTTCGTTTCTTTTCTCGCTCTGCTTACTAAGCATTTTCCATTTCCGATTGTAGTTTCACTTAAAATTTCGAGGATTTTAACATCAAATTTTGAATTTATAGCTTTCTCGAATAATAATCACTACTGTTTCGACTTTTCAGTCTTTTATTGTTACAAGTATGTTCAGCAGTGCTTCTGTGTTTTCCAATATTTATTTACCCTTTTCCGTTTCAATTAATTCGAAAATTTAAAACAGTTAAAACAGGTAAACCATCATCCAAAACCCATAGAACATAGAATATGGCGCAAGCGATTTTAAATAATTCGACTAAATTCTTGCATTTGTTTTTTTTTTTTTTATTTCTGGAATTTTTGCATTTTGCTCATTAGTTTACCTAGATAATAGCGTTTTCTACCTGATGCACTTACACTATTATCCAATTGAAAAACCTGAATTTCACAGGCAAATAAGTCATCTCTTCATCAAGAAAGATTCAGGGTAGGATTGTAAGCATTAGCAGATGCGAATCGATAACAATATAGCTAGTTGGATGTAGAGAAAAAAAATGCACTTTCAAAAATGTGTCACACCATTTTAAAACCACAATACGCTCGTGTGAAGAAAATTGAATGGGATCATTTTTCTCTTAGTTTCCATTTTTCTTGAACATTCTCACTGCAAACAAAGAGA